ATTTTATAATTCTTGTATTTATCTGAGTTCAAACATTTCACATCTTTACTTCTGCACCTGCAATTTCATGTGTTGATCCTTCCAGCACTCTAGGATGGAGATCATCTAGGCCAAACACTTTTCCCACATGGGTACCACCAGATAAGCTGATGGTGTGATTTCTACTCTCCTATTTTCACTTTCATTATGTATCAAAACATATAGTCTTACCAAAAACAGAGGCAATATATTCTATTATTATTTAGTCCATTCATAGTTTACTCTTACTGTCCACCCTATCTTTAATAATCAGTGCCCTACTTCTTCTGTTCTCATTTTACTTACAGGGTTTAAGAACTTTTTACTATGTCTCAGTTTGCTGTGCAAGTTTCAGTTTAACAAGGTTTCTGACCATTCTCAGATTGTTTTTATACCTACTAATCATTGATGGCGATTTGTCCTTCTAATCAATATCTTCTTTCTTTCTTTATAGGTTTTATGCTTACTCTTAATAACCTGCTTAAGGTTTTTATGTTCAGGGAATTTTTTTTCATTCTATTTTTTTCCATTTGCTTGAAATGTAAACGCAAAATAGCTTTTACGTTCTTTACTTAAAGTAATATCATGTCTTCACTGAATTCTGGTGCTCCTCACACCAGGCCATCTCACTAATCTTTTTTTTATTTCTCAGAGTTTGCCTCTCTAAAATATTGGACTGCAGCCATGGATCTGCATTTTTCTGTTTTGCTATTTAATATGAACTTAAAATCACTGGATCTAAGTTTATTTTCTATCATCATTTTTTCCTGCCGGAAAAACTAGTAGTTTTTCCTATCAGCTCAGTGTTTGTTTCACAAAAGAAGCTATCTTCTGTCATGCCCAAATTCATATGGTCCCCAATGTCATTAGTTGAAATTTTTTTTCTGATACTTGCCTGTGGGTAATCACACAAATAATGTGTATAATCACACAATTTCCATTCTTTCTTTTTTTCCCAGTATTTGTAAGGATTACTAGCCATATCAACTCTCTACCAAGAGATTCAAAATAGATGTCATTCCTATGAAGCTTTTTTCCCATCCTTTTCACAATAATTTTCATTCTAGTAGACTCTATTTCATCCTTGCCATCAAATTTCATGTTGTTATTGCACTATTGCTTAATAGTCTTTATTTCTTAACAGTCTTTGGTGTATTAATATGCAAATATTCTACCTTTGTTTCTGTCTTTCCTAAACCATATGTATCCTTCACTTCCCATATATTCCACCTATGACTTTGTTACCACCATGTTTCTTTTTCTCTGTAATGTCTGATTCCCTGTTCTGGATGAGCTGTTCCTGTTACTTTTATTGAATGAATCAATATAGATAAAGGGTAGATATATTACAGTTACCAGTTGGTGTAGCAATAATCTAGGTACTTGACATATCCTTTTGTTTACCTATCTTTTCTGCAGTTCCACCCTCATTCACCTTCCCTCTTTTTATTTGTATTCCCTATGAGGATTAAAAAAAGTTATTCCCAACTTTCCCCCAGAGTTTTTCAGTTTAAAGGTTTTTTATGATCTTTTGGTTTACTGAAAGGGTAAGAGAAAGCTAAATTAGCAAAAGGCACCACATTTTGATAGTAACAAAGACTACTTTGTTTCCCACAAATTTAGCAACATTAATTGTTTGACTTTCTCACTCTCAGGATTATAATCACAATTTCAGCTCAGATATTCAAATACAACTTCCATTGTAATGAACACGTTCAGACTATGTAGTCTCCATTCAAACAGCAGCTCTGAGTAAGGAATATAGAGCTGTGCCCTCTCATGCGATTCATGCATATTGCAAAAAATATTCTGCAAAACTCTACAGAACTTTAAGTACAGGTACTTCAGTAAAAATGTAATGTTAATCAGAATATGAATGAACAGAACAGTAGCAAGATAGTTCTAAACTAATCAATATTTAAACCTCATGTGTGCTACCAAAATAATATAGCAGCCTAACAAGTTGAAAGTAAGATTTTATTAAATCAAATTTTCTATTCATTATACTTTTCAATATCTCATTACCACAGGACCAGGATAACTCAAATGCAACATGTGTGCACTATTCACTTTTACATCATAGTTTTTAACACTATTTCAGGTTTTTGGAATGTCAACGCTTCCAAAATGATTTCATTGAAAGAGTTAAGCTCAAGCTAGCTGCTGAGGTTATTTAAAATAGTGGGTTTTTTATAGAAATAAAAAGGGGGGTGTGGCAGGGGTGGGTGTGGTGTATGTGGGTGTGTGTGACACAGAAATATAGAAACACAGACAAGTGCTAAATATATAAATATGATAGAGCTTAAAAATGCAACTATATATACATAAAATGCCATATAGTCAAACCACAGAGTTATGAATTCAAAGTAAACATGATTTTCAAAAATAGTGAGGTCATAAGAAACTTCTGTAAAACATCCCTAATGGAAATCTATGAGTTCTTTTTATTTCACCTGTCATCATGTATTTCATAAGGGATATTAGAAATGTTTTAAATAATATTAATAAAAATTGACTGGTTTTGTGTTCTTCTCTTGACTAATAGTATCTTGGAGCTCAATCTAAAACCTTTGAAAACTGTCAGCCATTGAATCGATTGGTTTTGCATCAAAACAAGAATTTCAGACTCTTTAATATTAAAAGTAGGCACTTTGTCCCACCGAGAAACTTTCCAAAACCTTCTACAAGGTCAAGCACGCTACCTGTTTGTATCTAAACGAACAAGAGCTGTGGTTCACACAGATAACTTGTCTCTCATTGAAATATCAGAGCTTGCTTATCTAGGCCTCAGGAAAAAGCATTCGAGAGAGGCTCTCCTATTACATCTGCAGAGAGAAGAGAACACCTTTGGGGAAGGCTGATCATTAAACAAAAGGTGATTCTTTACAACTGTTCTTGGGTTCAGCATGTTTGGAGGTTAAGATACAAGTTGACAGAGGTCTGCTGAAGACATAATTCACACATCACCTGTAGAGGCTTCTTCACTCTGTTATGTTTAGACTCACACATGAAAACCTATGAAAGCACAGCAGCATCTTAGCATTGCATTTCACTGAAAGCCAGATTGCAACCCGCGCTGTGCGCCGCACAGGATACACTTTTTGCGTTCATGTGCGCGTAACGCCTCTTTGATTTACATGCTAACGTGTGCAGCGCTCATAACGCTACCACACACACCTACGCACGCCTTTGCACGCATGCAATGAAACGTCCTTTTTTTTTTTTTTTTTGGTGCAGATCATCCAAACGCCTAATTTCACCGGCAGCAAACAAACCTACAGCTAAACTTGGCAATCGCCGCGGCCTCCGCTCGGCAGCAGC